GGCTCAACTACTTCTAATAAGAAGAATGGTGGATCTTTTCTTTTCTTTTCTTTTTTGTAAATTCTTCAAGTATTTTTTTATATATTTTGTAGATCTTTATGTACTTTCTTTTTTTCTCCTCTTTGCTTTCATTTCTTTTTGTTCTGTTTTTAACCTTTAAATGTCTTTTAAAATAAAATAAATAAATGCCAAGTACTTCCAGATCATCATGGACAAAATCTATCTATGTGCTTATGAGAAATTGACAACAACTTGATAGCCCATAGTCAATCAATCACTTCCAGATCAAAGAAGTCTATTAAGATTAAAAATAAAAATATGTATAAGTAACTGAATAGTGAAAGTGCTTTGTTCCCCTTTGAATCTAATCAGCCTCTCAATTTCTTATTGTGGATAAACATATCCATATTAATTATATACCCTTCTTTTTATTATTCTATGTAGGTTTCTGCAGAACCTGATGGTGCAACTTATGTTTTTCAAGGATTTATTCAGGGTAAAGACTACGGTCAGTTTGGACTTCAAAGATTAGGTAAGCTGATGCTATTAATATAGGCATTTTCAAACATTTTTGCAATCATTTGAAATCAACAAATAGGGGCCAACTGGGGCATTTACAGCCTTCATCACTTACTGCTTCTGATAAAAAGATCCTCCAGTTCCTGGAGACAGTTTGCATGTGTATTTTTTATTTAATGTGGAAACGTTAGCAGGCTGGGAGGAGGAGCAATATATCCCTTGCCTCAACACTTTGACTCCCTTTGGATTCTGAATGAGTTTCTTGATAGAATGACTGATAATATTTCACGAAAAGCTAATTCCAGTCACATACTGGAAGCTGAAAGTATCTGCATATGACACTTTTTCCCATAGCCTGACTGTGCTGAATTAATTTTAAGTTCAGACTCTAAAGTATTCTGAAAGAGGGATGGTGTTGTCATCAAAGGTATATTAGAAAGTCCATGATCTGGGCATCCACAGCAAACCAAGATTTAATCAAAATAATGAAACATGCACTGTGATGTCATAATTCATGCTCTGTTAGTATGTGTTTAAAGCAGTTGAGTTTGTATTGTGATATTACAATGTATATTTTGTTGTATGCCCCCTTGCCATCCCTACAGACTCCCTTGATGTACAGTATAGTTGAATTAGATGAAGGTCAAATATCTGTTTTTAACCCAAGTTCTGCTGATGAGAATGTACTTCCAGCATTTGGTATTTAGACACTGTATAGACTATGGATAGTCTCAAATATTAGCTAAATGTGTAATTTAGTGGGGTATTTTATTTCATCCTAGTCACGTACAAGAGGAATTGTCTTAGATTCTTCCCTCCCTGCAATTTCTATTGTTCATTGTGCAACCTTGTTGAAGTATTATACTTAGTTCCATTGGCTTAGTTACAATTTTGCTATGCAAGATTTCATTAGCATGAAGTAAGCAAATAGTGAAAATCTACTCCCTTCTGAATTCTTGTAGAGGGTTTGTGTTGGAGGGAAGGACCATTTCAGTAAAAAAATAAATAAATTAGTAAAATGGATATAAACAGGTGAAATTGCTCTTTTCCCCTCTGAAGCTACATTAGGATCCTATTGTGGCAGCCCAAATGACTGTCCCTGATTCAGCACCTATGAACATAATGGTAAACTCGAGGTGCCTGCTTTGGCTTATCCAAACATAATGCTTTTTATTAGCCTTTTTAAGGAGGACTCTGGGAGCAATTTTGAAATTTATGTGATGCGCTTTGCTCTACATGCATGTCTGCTTACCTTTTCTTCCAAATTCCTAAGCACTAATAAAATATAATTGCCTGCATCCATAAGCATATAAAAAACAGGGAAAATGGGTAAAAGAAAATATTAAGCTGTAATTATTAGAGTCAATTTCTTTATAGTGGTATTTTTTTTCTTCTTAAACGAACACTTGTATTGCTAAGTGTACTTATTCCTCAGGCACTAGAATCCCATTTAGCCCAAACTGAATGGTCTTCCAAGAAGAATTTGTTGTCTTGGCTATAATTTTCCCTACCTTTCCGCATGAGCATTTTTAAGTGTTACCCGGCCCACTTTATAACAGATTAAAAAGCAAACATGATCTGCATCTAAATGGCTTATTTTTGCCTAGATTTTTGCCTATATTTTCCTCAGTTGGTCCATAACTGACCCAACCATGGAACTTTCCTGCTCAGAGGAGATCTGCAACTTGGGACTCCTCTTGGATTCAGAGCTCCTGCTCTAGGAGCAGATAGTATTTGTGGTCAAGATGGCTTTGCACTGTTACAACTTGTCTGCTAATTGCAATGATTCCTGGATTGAGAAGTCCTATTTGCAGTCACTCCTACCCTAGTCATCTTCCATTTGGATTACTGTAACACATGGGGAGACCCTTAAAAAGCATTTGGAAGCTACAACTGGTACAAAATGCAGCAATCTGGGCAGTGATGGATGTATTTGGGTAGCCCTACTGCTTTTAGAGCTGCATTGGTTGCCAGTTGATTACCACATGCAATCAAAGGTGTTGGTTGTGACCTTTAAAGCCCTACATGGCTATGGACCATGTTCACCCATATTTGTCTCCCCATCTAAACAGTTTGCTCATCTGATTAGGAAACTCTCTTGGATCTTGTCTGTTTGAGAATGTTATCTGATGGGTGCTAGGAAAAAGGTATTTTTAAATGGTCCTCCTATATTTTGAAACTCCTTTCTTGTTCCCTTCTGGGTTCTGGCATTTCCATCTCTGGGGGACATGAGCAGCATATAAACTTAAGAATGAATGAATGAATGAATGAATGAATGAATGAATGGTGGGGGAATGTGGTTGAAGGAAAGAGCTTTTTACAAGAAGAAATACAACGATTCCTTAATCACAACTTAGGCAAAGCTATTATCTAGCCAGTTTTGTTTAATTTATGCAAACTACTAATTAACTGTTTTCTTCCTGAGAGGCGTAACTCTGGGTCCTGGCCAGGGGTATCCACAAGGGGATTAAAAAGTCAATATAATGGTTGTGACTACACATCCAAAGTGCATATTACACATTAAAAAGAGGCAGGGTTTTGATTGTGCAGTCACAGCTTGACTTTCTCCCTGGTGTTGAGCATATATACTTACTTCAAGAAGCCCGAATACTATGTCTCCTGCAACTCTTCTCTTTCCCACAGGAGTATGATGCCTTGTCATGGGAGGCTGTTCAACTGGGAATAATCATACTTTTAGTAGATTGTAAAAGAGCCTCTTATAAGTGTGGGACCAGGGACAAATTATGCACTGTAGCCACTCTCCTGCATCTGGTATGGGGTGTGGGGAACCCAGAAAGTGGAAACAGATGGATAAATCATCATAATTGATATTTCCTAATGTATACAATACCCCTAAACTTAAACATGGCTTGCTATACTCCCAGTGCTGTTGCATTGTGTAGAAAGGCTCCAAATATTTTGGTTCCTTTTAACCAGGATAATTTTTGTTTGAAAGTAGAAATAAGTTGCTTTAGTTTCTGAAGGTGCTTGACTCTTTATTTTGATCAATTAGAAAGAACAGGGAATCACATCTCAAATATATGGGTGATCCAATTTGTTTAGTCTAGAAAATAATTTAAAATAATGGTATATTACATAGCAATAAACAAACTATGTATTTGTATAGTATGCACACCCATTATAAACACTTGGAATACTTATTTTCTCATGACAGTAGTAACAAAAATAATGTTTATGTTTTGTTTCTCCAGGACTTAATATGTCTAAAGGATCAAATTCATCAAATCAATCACATGGTACAAACAGCAGTTCTGTGGCCATTGCTATTCTCGTGCCTTTTTTTGCTCTTATATTAGCAGGATTTGGATTTTACCTTTATAAACAAAGGTAGGTGGACTATACATCTATTTTGTGTGCACACACCATCAAAATAGAGGTGGGAAATAGTATTGTATGTAGGTTTTATTAAACACCTTGATGTTGTTGTAGGGAAATGCCCACATTTCCACAGGTTTAATACTCTTGGATAAATAGTAGCTGTAAAAATTATGAGGTTCACTTATAGCCATCACTGTGTGTCATCTCCACTAATAAAGCTTTTTTTAAAAAAAAATAGAAGAATCACCTGAACCGAGCAGAGATTAAATTTCAGCTTCTGAAATTCTCCCATTCTTGTGTACCTTGTGCCTAGAGCTCCATACTTCAGTAATCATGTCCCCACCACCACCATCACCATTATTTGCATTATTTCTTTTGATGACTGTTCAAGAGTTTTTCAGTGGTCATGGATTATAGAATCTAGGCTATATGTACGATGCAATTATTTGTCTGGACCTAATTGTGAAATCCTGCCAGGTTCATCCAGCCTTCCAATCTATCAGTCTACCTATATCCCTAAAGCAGTGTTGTCCAAACTTGGCCACTTTAAGATGAGTGGACTTCAACTCATCATGAGTGGACTTCAACCCATGCTGGCTGGGGAATTCTGGGAGTTGAAGTCCACTCATCTTAAAGTGGCCAAGTATGGACAACACTGCCCTAAAGAGACACTCAGGAGAACTACCAATCTGCACGAAAACAATATATGGTTAAATCAGAATTTACATTACATATGGGAAACACAGCAAAATCCAGAAACCTCCTAAATCCTGAAAGGTATTTTTGATGTCCTCCTCCCTTTTAAGATACTGATTAAAAAGATAAATAAAAGTAAGAAAAAATTCTTATATTTCATATTGTTCTGAGAGAGAAGTAAATTGTGATTAACACAACAAGCATGAAATAATAATGCTCACCCTAGATTACAATAACCTATATCAATAGGATGAGTCACTCCCTTAACAAAATTATGTGTGTAGGCCAATCTCATCTTGTTTGGGTCATACTGGCAGAGGAATATGTTTGGGCACATCTCTTTATGGCAGAGGTGCTATCTATATTGTATCACAGCTACTTGTGATAATTCCAATCTGTGCACTCTCATTGGAGAAGGGACCCATGAAAAGCCATGAAATTTACTTACAGGAAGCATCAATAGGTTTTCAGGCCGAAGTTAGCTCTTCCTCTGCTCTCAAGGGCAAAAGTGCCTACTTCCTCCATCACCAGATGTTTTAGCACACAGACCTCGCCCCCACCCCCACCTTTCTCTTCTGCAGGGCCCCTGTAGGCCTGAATTGTCCTTGCTGTTCTCCATAGTTACACGTGCAGTTCTGACTGCTTCCCTGCCCCAGGAGCTCAGGGGAAGATGGTTCTGAGATGAATCGGGTGTATAGAATATAGAGGCAGAACAAGGAACATTGTACCAATAGAGGTGAATATGTGTAGCTCAGGTTGAACTGTGGAGTCCTTGGGGTTCTCTGAGC